CAGAGGCCCTGACAACCACCATCTCTCTTGTGGTTTTCAGCAAGATTGAAAGCATCCTTGAACTGGACAGAAACTCTAATATTCAAATAGATTATTCCAACTAAAAATCACTGTACAATTATTGAAAGTACTCAGAGGAGACGACATTACTCAGTGCTACACTGTAGTGTTTCCAGCAGATCGATTACCACCTGTAGAACAATTCCCTAGTTGCCTTTATTTTAAATACTGACGGACACAATCTTTCAGGAAGCCATTGGGTATCGATATACTTCACTCAAGATAAAAAAGGTGAATTCTTTGACCCTTACGGACAACCGCCTGAAATTTACAGACTATTTTTCTGGCCTTTTTAAAACAAACAGTTCAATTCATTCACAGCAAAATTTGTTTGCAGTCTGTTAACTCTACAGTTTGAAGTAGAAAAGAAGTGTGAAATCATGTAAACAAATTGTGTTTTGCAACTTTAGATTTATTTTAGTTGAAAATCCATTGTGAAAAAAAAATGGTATGCTGATAAAAAGACATACACAAAGGAAAATAATATTTTTTTAAATACATTTTTACACTTAATGTACATACTTCTCTATTGCTCAAAATAAATCAAGTAGTTTATGTACAAAACTTTTTTGTTTATATTGACATAATTCTCTTTTCCTAAACAAAGTTGTCAGTGGGGTCCAAATTCCTTGTGTTATTTTACTAAACATGAAACGATATTTGATATCTGGAATATAGCATCTAACCCATCATTTAGTTTCACAGACTTTCCCATTGAATTCTTTTCTTTGTTTGTTATGGGGTGGATATCATTCTGGGTTGTTTTTGAGTTCTAAAAGGTGATCCAGGAATTGGAATTTCAGGAAGTCTTCTTTTTTTCAACCAATCCAATCTGCTTGTATTTACTAATGACACCACATTGTTCTTTGTTTTCTATGATACTTTCAGGTACATTAGATTTAGCTAAACCATGCATGAAATACTGAAATCCAAATGGAACAAACCCTTTTTACTTTCAAAGTGTCATTTACAAGATTGAATGTGTTTGAACTTTTCACATGATTTCAATCATACACAAGTTACCCATTTTGTTCCAATTTATTTCTTTTTAAGATTATCCAGTGACAATTTTGCTTTGCTCTTTGTCGTTTTGTTCGAGCACACTGTCAAGAATTTGTAGTGTAAAATCATTGGACCCGGTTGTAGGCAAAGTGTTTTGTTGTTCTGCCAATATTTCCTTATCTTACAACACTGCTTGGTCGACGTTGGATCCTGATGATTCTGTGGACATGGTCATAGACATGGGTTCAGTTTTGCCAGCATGGTTGCACTGTAGATACTTTTGTGATGATTGCTGATAGAGAGCAGTTTTTTCATCATTGGGAAGATCTGCCTTGGTTAAGATATTTTTCATGTCTTCCTCCAGACTCCGCAGCTTGCTCTGCGTAGGATTACATGTGAGAAGACTATTCTGTATACCATGCATTACCCAGTCGGTAGGAGAGCTAATCTTGATTTTTTAATTTTTTTTTTTTTTGGTGTGGTGCATTATTTGGTGGACACAAGACTGCCAATGGGTGCTCAGCACAGGGGCCAGAAGGGGTCCCGGAAATCCACCTTTTCTGAACAAGGGGCCACTTACTTTTGGAGTAAGAGGTCCTACTGTCAGCCACAGTTCAAAGATCCTCGTAATACGAAAGATGCTGGTGCATGTCAAAGGCACATGGACTTTTAAAATGTTAAGTGCACATTCATAGAGACAGGTCACTTGTTCTTTGTCGGCATGCTTTAGAATGTATTTCCTCCTTTTGCTGGATGATTTGCTCAAAATGTGCAGTTTGTGCACGTTGTCCTTCAATCTTTGCATCATGATGACAAATAAAAGATCGGACAAATATCAGTCTATTTAGGTACCTATGCAAAGTTGATTCTCCAGGGAAGATGTTCGTTCTAAGTCAGTATTCTTCGTAATAGTTTGGTTTCAAATCGATATTATAACAAATAGGACTAGGACTGGCTAGTTACATGTACGTGTGCATTGGCATCCACCATGAATTAGTTTTTTGGGGAAATATTTGCTTGGCCAGATTAACTGTCTCGGAGTGGTCTCTTGGGTTCTTGAATATTACAATATAGTGATGATTCAGACTTGTGAAATAAGTTCTGTATGATGTTGATCAGTTTACGTTTTGGTGATGCAAGCCTTTCATAAACTACATTCACTTTGGGGTTTTATCAAATCGTCCAAGACGATTAAGTTTCTATATTTTAGGATGATGAGATCCCTACAGTCCTCTGTCAACCCCTCTACAGACTGAACAGCGGGAAGATCACAACACAGTTCCTCTTAAGCCGGCTGATACTGACCAAAACACCACAGAATTCTCTCAAGTGCATCCACAAATACATCTTGACACTGTCTTAACAATTTACTGGCCAACTGTGTCTTACTAGAGCCTGTTGGCCCCTGTACACAAATAGTTGCAGGATGCTGAAATTTTAAACCCATGCGATGAACTGACCCAATGTGCCAAAAGTGGTGGTATTTATACCTTAAATGTTATGATGTCACTAACTGGAAATACCTTCCTATAACCACTTTATACAACAACACTGTTACTCTTTAACACTTCAAAAGTATGCATGTCCAAAATCATGGGATTAAACAATTCAGTTCTAAACATACTGGATAACTCAATTTCAAAACAAGGGATAAAATAGCAACAGATCCAATGAATACAATCACATCATTCAAATCATGACTGTTTGACATTTCAGATAGGATGAGAGTGTTTGCCATGATGACTTGTTATCAAATGTGAGCAGTGCAAACCCATTGTACATTTTATACTCATTGCTATCCGTACAACTTGTCGAAATCTTCCAAAATAGCTCTTAATTTTCTCATAAACAGCTTTATAGTCTTTGGACAGCAATTTTGTGTTTATCTGTTTAGTTTAGGGTCTTTGGTAATATGGAAGGGATTAATTACAAAGATGGCCTGTATGTTTGCATCTTTGACAATATGCACAGCTGATCAAAGTCGATTTCTTGGGTATTTCTGAAGTTAATGTAATGACTGGCCATCTATTAAGGAGGTCCGCTTAAATTATTAGTTTAAGGATGTCGAGGCAAAGGAAAACTGGCAGAAAGAGTCCAATGTAACTGTCTCAAAAATACAGAGTTTTATTTACATGTCAAGTTTAGGGGGTTCAAATATCTAGGTTTGATTACAATTAATTACAATTCAAATCTCTTGTTAATTGTTTATTTTCTTTACATGAAATTCCATATTCCCGAATTCCCTGAATGCCAGGCCGGTGTGCGACCGTGGACTTTGCCCTTCTCGACAGCACCTAATAGTGTATGCTTCATTTGAACCTTTTACAATCAAGACTGTGAATTTTCACTCCAAAATCACTCATTCCGCGTTCTGCTATAACCCCAAAATTCATCATGTCGGGTCACACACAGAATCATAAATTGTGAAGGTGAAAAGACTACAAATCAGCTATCACAGTGTTAAAGGCTAGTTTTCATGGTGACAGGTTAACCCCAAGATACCCACTCTGTGGTGCCTACACTGAGAAGGAACTCACTCACTCCCGCGCCCACTGCAATTTCTTCCTGGGCATTTGTTATACATTTCTAAGGGGCTGGGCAGCGTACCAAGTAAACTATGGTGACCCCTCAAACATGCTTCCCTACATTAAGGGTAAACCCCTAAATTTACATGTTTTACCCGTGTCCAATTTGTATGTATAATTTTTGGGATGCCCCAAAACAAACCTCTTTATGAAGTTTCCATCTATCAGACTTATTTCATTTGTCCACTCCCCCAGGTAGTTGCCCGTAGGCGGTGCATACAGACCTGGTCTGTTCACATAAATGACACTATCAGTGTTGTAATACAAAACTCTATCTTGAAAGTTTTCAAGTACAGAATATAATTTAATCTGGCATGGGCTGTTGTAAACGCTGCCATAACAACCATGGTGCACTGATTGAGGGCCACAAACTCGATGCTGTTTACGACCTTATCGTCAGTGAACAAAAGTTCATACAATCTGGACAGTTCAATCAGGTTGTAGCTCTATGGTTCAATAATCCCCACAGTTTGAGGCATGTTCAATCTTTGGCCAAATTACCCCAGAAACTATTAAACATGAGCTTTGCTAGAGCCCAGGGCTTGGATTGAGCCCAGGACTTGGATTGAGCTCAGGGCTTGGATTGAGCCCAGGGCTTGGATTGAGCCCAGGGCTTTGCTAGATCCCAGGGCTTGGATTGAGCCCGGGGCTTTGCAAGAGCCCAGGGCTTGGATTGAGCCCAGGGCTTTGCTAGATCCCAGGGCTTGGATTTTCAAGGAGTTGGTTGCGATTGAATAATATTCCACCTTTCTCCTCACATTTTTTGTATACTTCTCAATGTCACATTCATCTTCACACCATTTAGGAATTTCAGAGCATGCTGTTTAATCTTCAAAAATGTGTTTAATAATCGGTAAACAAACCGCCCTATGTTAGTAGTTTGATCATTCTGTACATAATGTTGATTAATTTTTTGTTATTCAAATGAGACCTGGTCTTATGCTCCATGCATAAAATTCTTCTGAAATGTCCAATAAAGACCCAATACACTCACTGGTGGAGGAGTTTCTTTACTAGGAGAATGCCCCCCCCCCTCCATTTTTTACAGGTCCTGTAATGGGATGGGGCTTGATAAATCCACAGTTTAATGGCTGATGCAATGATGGTCTTTTAACTGGTCCCCCTCCCCCTTTGAAAATCATTCCACCACCATTGAATACTCTACTTATAATTAAAATGCAAATGTTGAACAAATTGCAAAAAAGGCGGTGACTCACAGTTAGTTCTGTCACACCTTGAAGTCTGAATCTCATTACCTATAAATTGAAGGTTGTAACGGTCTTGGGTATTATTTTCATATCATTATAAAACAAAATGGATTGTTTCAATGAGTATTATAATGCTTGTTTTTAGGAAACAGCTTTGAAGACAAAAGTGCAGAATATTTTGCTGAAGTCATTTTGGTGAGTTAAACATTGCTTTAAATATTAATTAATATGTGTCCAGAAAGTGACAACTTGTTTTGTTTTTATACACAGATGTAAAAGGACATGTTGCCAAGTCATTCATAAAGTATTTACAGTTAGAAAGGAACACACATGGACCAAAGAGCAAGCTGCACATGCAGTATTTTGTTATTACACTGCGGCATTGGTAACTTCTGCTTTTTTTATGCCTTACACTTCAGCCATACATGTATGTCATTTACCAGGCTACCGTGAGATATTCTCTTTTAGCACATGATTATTAGTGCCAAGTCTGCCTTTCTTATCAATTATCAATAATGAATAGATCTCTACAACTAAAAGCTACTCATCGGCACATTGACATATGGAAGTCAGTGATGGTCTGTTTTTTATTGCAGAACAATAGCAAACTCGAGTATGTGAATCTGAGTCACAATGAATTCAGTGAGGCTGCAGGACTGCTTCTTGGGCCAGCAATTTCTGAAAATATCACCATGAGACAGCTTGATCTGAGCTGGAACCACATCCGAAGAAAAGGAGCCCTAGCACTTGCTAAAGGCATCATGGTAGGATGAGCTTAGCGAGTGTGTCTGAAAGACGGCTGTTTTGTGTGCTTAGTGTGTGTGAGACAGTTTAAATTGAACATGACTTCTGATCAAGGGCTTGGCAGTTCCAATCTAGCTGCTGGCCTTGTGTTTGGTTCCCAGTGAAGTAGGGGGAGTTTGGGATATTGGTTATGGTGTCAAGCTTAGTTTCCATAGCAACATAAAGAGATGAAGACCGCATTTCCCAACAATCCAGATGATCTGCAGTCATAAGGGGAAAGTGTTTACACAACTGATCCAAATGAACACACATATTTTAGGGGACACTGAAAGCTGGTACATTGCAACTTGCACATTTCAACATTTCACAGGGTAGGAGGGTGCACCAAATTCATGGACCTACACATAGCTGAAATTGACCCCAGTGTAGCCTTAGCACTATCAACCACCTGGAAATGCTACCTACATGGCTCACGGCAGAAATGTTACCGTGGGATTTTGTTATGTATCAAACTAAAATGGATTATTACCACAGCAAATGGCTTTCTCAATTTAATCATTCAACCATAATGTACACTACAATTTCATAAACAAAGCTTTGAGTCTTTAATTGGTGAAGCATAAGTATGGCAGCAGAATAAATATCTATCATTTAACATTCTGTACCAGATTCAAAACTCACTGATAGGAAACACATGTACATGTAGCCATGTCTATTGCTGTGCTAGAGTCAAGGCATGTATGTAGTGTTATGGGAAAATCACTGGTTTTATGCCATTGTTACCCGCAACAGCTGGACTGTGGACATAGAAAATGGCACCAGTGAAATTGTAGAGAGAGAGAGAGAGAGAGAGAGAGAGAGAGAGAGAGAGAGCTATAAAAAATAGACTTTGCCATTTTTTTACTCACTAATTTATCCTGACGATCAAATTATGCTATCATTCATCACTTGTTTAACACATTTTCCTTTGACTTATAAATTAAACCCCAATTATTGACTTACACTTACACAACTTAGACGTGGCTGACCATGAAATTGAAATACATCAAAGTATAGTACCACTTCAGCTTCAAGAAATGGTGTAATCACCCAAAATGTGCATTTTGGATGCCATTGTGTTACAGTTTTTTGTTCATATGACGTCACACGTCATCTCTCCTTGACATCTCTTCTTCTCAGTTTTGACACCTTGCATGCTGTCCTTAATTGGTAAAACTATATGACACTAGGCTGGAATTTCCTGTGATTGGAAAGTCTAGGTGCCTATGCAACTACTGGCGGTGTGCACAACACTCCTTGAAAACATACATTCTGATCTTGTTGAAGTAATTACAGGATCTATGTGCACTCTTACAGGTTGTCAGTGTGGCAGTTTATTCAATGAAGTGCATCCACTTTCACCTGAAGTAACAAATACCTGTGGTGTATGTGTCTTATTCAGAATAACATTGGACTGAAGGTCATCAATATATCTTGGAATGGCTTTGGCAATGAAGGTGCCCAGGCTCTTGGTGAAGCACTCAAAGTGAATAGCTCATTGGAAGAATTAGACATCACGTAAGTTAATATATGGTCTACTTATTGAAATGTAGGAAGTATCTCAGCATTTTATCTAATTTGAACTTCATAAAAGACTGATAAATTCAATATAGTATTTTCACACTTGGGTTACTAGATGTAGGATTACGTTTGGGGGGTTAAGTTTGGTGTATTATGACGTAATAGCTAAGTTTGGAAAGGGGGCGAAATCATTGGTTAGTACATGTGTGAACGCACTTCATACTCATGCATCAGTGAATCCTGGGTACACGTGTATGTAATTCATAACCTTGTATTCAGGTTTTTACCTTCCTCTCACCACATCACAGTCATTGCTTTTGCATCTAGTAGTTGAAAAAGTAGGATTGGCCCTCAGTTCAAAATCACAAGACTTATCCACCAAGTAAAACGCTCTCACACAGTTAAAGCACAGCATTAATTCTGATAAGAAGCAAGAAACTACCTCCGTCTTTCAGCGCTTAACAGGGCCATTTGGAGGCAGAGGCTGTTGCTAACCAATGGTAAATTTTCTGCAAACTTTGGCATCTCAAACAATATCAAAAGTAGTGTCTGTGAACAAGTGAAAGGTCAACTCCCTCCATGGTTCTGCTAGTCCAGGAGCTAGTCCATGATCAAAATGACATTATATAAACAGCATGTGTAGTGGAATACAAAGCCAGTGGGTTATGCAAGGGTTTGTTTTACAAAGTAACTCTGATTCAGTAAGGGTGGACTTTAACATACAACTACCAATTTGTCAGAATGTACCGGTGATGTTTGGCAGTTCATTACGCCATGAAAGCTCTAAGTTGGGTCACAGTTCTCTTCAGATATTTGCCTTGTGGTTTGTACAGGAATAACAGAATATCTGGTGAAGGAGCAGTTTTCTTGGGGAAAGGTTTGACCAATAATGAAACGCTCAAGATTCTGAGAGTAAGTTAACCCTTCATTTATCTCTCAAAATGCAATCAAATCAATTTCATGGTCACTTTTTTATTTTCTTGTGTTTATACTGTAATTTGATATTGTTACTAAAGTATGTGCTTCACCCCCCCCCTTCTCAAAAGTTCTCTTGTTACTATTCTACTGGTCCTTTCAACACACAGCAAGGTGAGGTTGTATTCTGAAAAGGTTGGAACCATTTGGAAATGCCTGTCACTCATAAAATAGCCAGTCAGTCCTGAGCTAAATTTGTTGAAACACTCCAAGCTCCCATACGATATACATGTAAAGTTCTTAGCTGTCAATGAGTCTGCAAGAGTTTCACGGCTACAGAATCCTCCCTCAAGAGTTCATGCGTGATGTAGAAGTCACAGGTAATTCACACTACAGTCATCCACCAATTGTGTAGCTTCATTTCAAAGGGGCCCTTTTCCTTTTTACTGTCGGCAACCTGCATATATGTTGAAACGTATTGTTCAGCTTTCATTCACTCAGCTACAATCAGAAATAAACATTGTCACTGAAAAGAAATCAAAATTACTTGTGAAGGGTGCACATGGATATTATTACATATGTAGATCTTCTGTTTTTCAAATCATTGCACACATCAAGTGATACATTTAAAAGTGGTAGGTGTACCCGCTTTATTAGGTGATGCTCTAGCAGTGTGTCATTCTTGGGTTTGCAGATTGGGAAGAATCCTATGCAAGCAGCTGGAGCATTCGCCATCTTAAAAGCTGTCAAAGATAATACAAATACCATCATGGATGAATTGGACTTTTCAGTAAGTTCACACTGTCCTTATTTGTTAACTTTATTCTGAAGCAAAAAGCTTTTCTCTTTCTAATGTAATGAGGGTGAGAAGCTGATGAAGGAAAAGTAATGTCTAAAAGCAGGGTTTAGGGCTGTGTATTTACAGGTATCTGTAGAACCAGGTACCCCATTTTGTTACACATCAAGCACCCGGATACCTGTAAAAATAGAAAAAAATTAGTAAATGACCATGTTTCCATTAGTAACATTGTTTAGTTACTATAGTTTTCCCAAACTCAACAATACCATTTGATTTCGCCACACCACCACAACACCGACAAACTAAGACTTGAATTCAGCTGTAACTGAGCATGCATCTTTGCATAATATTTTTGAAGCAAATATTAATACTATTGATAAGAGGGGGCAAGAGACAAGGATAGAGATTCCTTTAGTGCAGGGGAGGGGATGATGTCAACCAATGTGACTTGTCTCTTATCAGTGACTTTGCGCTGGAGTCAAAAATGTTTGTTGGGGAGTCCTTGCCAGACACGATGCAAACGTAGGTGCCCTGGCCAGTCCTGTCTTGAGACAAGTTATTTTGTTTGGAAATCAAGGACTGAGTTTTGTAGACAAAACTTTGTCACTGTAAAGAATTGTCCACAAAGTAATTACCATCTCACAACTAGTATTCACAACTATGGTGCCAGTACAGGTGTACTCACAACTATGTTGCCAGTACGGGTGTACTCACAACTTTGGTGCCAGTACAGGTGTACTCACAACTATGGTGCCAGTATGGGTGTACACACAACTATGGTGCCAGTACAGGTGTACACACAACTATGGTGCCAGTATGGGTGTACTCACAACTATGGTGCCAGTATGGGTGTACACACAACTATGGTGCCAGTATGGGTGTACTCACAACTTTGGTGCCAGTATAGGTGTACTCACAACTATGGTGCCAGTATGGGTGTACTCACAACTTTGATGCCAGTACAGGTGTACTCACAACTATGGTGCCAGTATGGGTGTACACACAACTATGGTGCCAGTATGGGTGTACTCACATCTATGGTGCCACTATGGGTGTACTCGCTGTTTGTTCCATAAACTAGATCTTTATGTTAGTAATCATGCATCAGATGGTTTTGCACTGAGTGTGGGAGGTAGCTCATCCTGATATACTCACCTATCTCTGCTGAGTATACAGTTTATGATATCTGTTGGTTGTTCATATGTCAAGTAGAAAATCATATGTCTGCTTTGACATGACAGGGGATTCAAGTGAACAAAGAATTTGAAGATCTGTACAACCAGTTGAAGGAGACTCGTCCCAACATTAAAATCCATCATGGCGGTATGAAAGAAGCTGTCAAACCTAAACAGAAACTGAACCCTATGCTGAAACTACAACGCTACATTCAGAAGAACAACTTACGCCTGGTGGACTTCTTCAACAAGTTTGACAAAGATGGAAGTATGAGTGTAACATATGATGAGTTTGAAGAGGGACTAGTGGTGAGTTGAAGATGTATTGGTGTTATTCCACCCAGTTATTCTTTTGTTGATAATGAAGACAGGGTCCTTACAAGAGCCCCTGGCATTGTCAGTTGTAAATTTCAAGATACTTACGGACAGAATACAATAAAGTGGTGTTCAATATTAGAGTTGGGAGGAAAACCTCATAGAAAGAAATTGCTGGGAGATACCAAAGAATCATGCTGGAACTAAAAAATGCATATAGGACAAAGTCAGTCTGAGTGAGCTCATAGAATGGAAGGCATGGACAGCACTATTTCCCCAACCTGTCTCTCCAACTGGTTTTGTCATGAGCTTAGGCATGGACGGTACTACTTTCCCAACCTGTCTCTCCAACTGGTTTTGTCATGAGCTTACTCTGAATTTTGTTCGGTACATCAAGAGTTATATGAGTCAATAAAATTGAATATGAACATTTTTAGATTAGAAACAGTTACCCTTTCTGTTACAAACTGCATTCTAATGAAAACAGTACCTCCTAATGAAAATATTCAGGTAATCACCTTAAACAGTAAACTGTGTTATGCTACCACCGGTGTATCGTAATGGTGTTGTTATATGTGTGTTTGTCATTTACATGAACTGGCTTTGTAGAATGGGTAAGATTGTCTCAGGTATTCCATTTACAATAGACTACACATAGTTCCTTATGGTATATAGTGGAGAGTGGCTTTTTACAAATGTATGGCAGTGCCACCAATGTTCCAACAAAAATTTGAGATTGCTGACTATATTTTGTGTGTATGTGTGTTAGGAGAGTGGCATTGACCTTTCCAAAGAAGAGATAGCTTATATGATTGGTGAATTGGACAAAGATGGTGATGGAGAAATTAACTACAGGTATGTCATCACATTACATGTCATTCACTTCTATATTACCATGTACCACTGTAACCTTTACAAGTGCTGTAACAGCAATCAAGTACTTCAATATTCTATTTCTTTTTCTCATGGCACATAGTAAATGTACTAGGTTTGTGTTCTTCAAGCAAAGCCTTGCTGTTCATATTGAATGCGGACACACTATATTTTCTCATGTACCACTTGCACCTAGCACTCAAAGGGTAACTTACATCCAATAATGCATTTAGATTTTTATAATTAGGTCAAAGATCGTGTTAATATTCTCAATTGTTACAGCAGGCACCTTGATAGAAGCTGTTATACCAGGTGATGTTTACTGATGCAAGTAAATGAATAAGCCTTGCCCATCAATAAGTACATCCTAATTAATGATTAGGATAAGTCAAGGATCATACAAGTGTACTGTATGACACTGGGTAGTCTTAGTGCTGTAGTGGTGTATCAATTCACCTTTTAAATCCTTAGTTCCACAAAATGGGTATTAAAGGATGTGAAATTGCTAATTAGTTTTTCCATGAAGAACACTATCTGGTTTTAGATGTTGTACTCCTGTAGGTCAGCAAGCTTGTCATCCAGATATAAGGAAACATTCTGTGGGTGACAAAGCTGGCTGCTGCAGTCAATTTCTACTATGAAAGATTTGTTCAGTGACCCGCAACTCAAAAATAGCTGCAGTGATTCAGAAACCTTTTAGGGGGTTGGGTGACATTCAATAACACAGGAAACAAACTGAATGAAAATACAAAGACGTGGCAAGGTTGATGAACAAATCTTGTGTATATTTATCTGAAAATGAGACTATTTTATTACATCTTTTTATTGTTCTTTTTCTAGTTGTCTCCTTTCTTCTCCATAGTTAACACTCTTGACTGTCCCTCTCTTGTATATCTAGCTCCATCTACAGATCTATCTTAGTGCATGATCATGGTACAAGGCAGGCAGCCATGTTTTGCACTGGTCCCCTGCAGGCTCAGGCAGCTGCCATCACCATAGCACTGACATTCAGCCCAACTAATCCTCTCTTCTCGTCCTGAACCAACTTATCATTGTTACTTACATCATTTTGCTACTTTGCACTACTTCTCTTGCAAACGCCCATATTGCATGGTTTGTATTACAACTGTTTTCTCTTTATCATACCACGGTCAGACTCTCTTTGATAAGCTAGGAAACCATTTATGTATGTACAATGCATAGGAAAAAACTCTGTCAAGCAGACCTCATGTTCTGTTCAATTTCCCTTATATCGTATCACATTTTGCATAGCAAAATCGACCAAATGCTGCACACTTTCTAAAATAAATCACACATTGTGCAATACAAAATGCATATGGCTTGATGCTATAATATGCTTGAAACAACACTTTGATTTACTCATAGAGCTTGAAATATGCATGCATAAATCGAGTCCGCAATCGGGCAATGAGTTGACTTCATTGGTTCCCACACAACTCGTGTTCACTTGAGATAGCCAAAGTGGGGGATCGGTAACGCTCACGCATTTCGGCTAGGCTCCAGGCATGGTGCATACAGCATGTACTGTACAGTACATGTACATGACTGAACATGCGGTCATCATTTCATGTCTTTGTTGGACATTGCGTTAACGTTTAACTTCTGAAGAGCCAAATGGAAGTTGAAAGTGGTGCAGATGGAAAATTAAGTCATGGAAGAATGAAAAACAAGTTCAACTTACACTTGCTGGAATAAAAAAATGATTGAAGTTTCCTTTTATGACTAATGTTACTCACGCTTTTGGTTATAGGGAAGATTGATGTACTACCAGATTGTACATACATTTTTAATAGAGTCCCCTAACATTACGCACTTCGACTTTCACTTGACTTGTTGCCAAATCCCTTGTTGAAAAACTACATTTTGTTAAATACTTATACTGTAACCCTCATAATACATTCTGTTGAACATTCAGCATCGTGAAATTTCATCTGAAATCCAAAAATGGCAGGTCCGGAAATTGGGCAAGAATTCAGCTGGGTGTTGCCTGACAACCCACCATGCCAGCTTCGCGCACTTGAAAAAATGCCCCCAAACCGGAATAAACATTAAAGAAATTCTTTGAAGTTGATAAAAACTACTAAATTATTATTAGCTCCACTCATCAAACCACATGTTCATCAGAAAATTATTTTTGTATTTTGCAGGTATTTTTAAGAGTTCATTTTGGACTTAAGAAAAAATTAAAAAATCAAGCCCAAAATAAAAATTTCATTGGCAATGTGTAGCGGGTCAGGATTTTTGTAAAATCAAGATTCTTGAATCAGAATGTTGAGAGTTTCCAATTTCACTTATAATGAAATTCGAGGAAGAATATTGCTCTGGCAACGTAGGCACTAGAGGCAAAAAATCAGAGTGTGCCACATTAGGGTACATCAGCATAATCCTTTGGTAAGTAAGCCATGGCCAGCCACACAAGAAAGCCAACACAAGTGTTCACACTTTGGCAAGCAAAATGAAGGTCAGATTCTTCCAACAGTGCAATTTACATGAAACTCACATGAAAAAATTTGGCAGGATAATCAGGTATTGTGATGTTGATCATGTGCAGCCATTTTAATCAGATCCCGTGCCCAGGTATTTTGCCCCTATTTTCAGGTTCCTCACACCTACATATACTTTACCCACTTTAAACATTTTCCGGCCCAAGACTTACTCTGAAAGTGAATTGAAAGACCATTGTTGAGGACTTTGTTTGTTTTGTTTTCTTTTATATGGCTATTCAGTGGTTTCATACAGTTACATTGTGAAAAGACTGCTACACGAAATTAGGCAATTGCTATGCAAACAAAATATTGCATAGCAGTTTGCATGCAAATATTTTGAGGAAATCAAACCCTGTAAGTAATACTCTTGACTCAGCTGTCAAATTGTTACCATTAATACAATTACAGTCTTGTTAAAAAACCAAAAGTAAAAAGGAGGATTAAAAAAATGGATGAATAAAGAACCAATGCCAACTAAATATAACTGAAGCGTGAATAAGAATAGAAAAAACATGAATCATTCTATAGATACCATAAAGAAAGAAAACCAGGAAAGTGTGTGCTTCCCCCCGTGGTAACATGACTACGTCATTTGAATCAGTTGGCTCTTACATCATTTACACTTCTTCCCCTTGTTTCATCATTCAGTCTTTCATCATTTTACTTTCAACAGTTCATTACTGTCTATTTTAGGATCGTTTTCAGTATGTGGAGGAGGGGTCTTGGCTTTGCTAAGCAGTGACTGAGTTTGCTTTTGTTCTTTTGCAATGAAAACTTTGTTGACAACAATCTGTTGTCATTTTGTTGTCAGTGTGCACATTTTCAATTCTGTAGATGGGTATTGATGACTCCTTGTTGAGCTTCATTTCAGATTTGACATCAGCTTAAGTGCACAGTGGTTTTTGGATGCATGGTGTCATTGCACTGGTACACATACATATATGTACCTCTCATCATGGATTTTATTGCACAGTGGGGAGGGGGGTTGTAGCAACAAGGTCAAATGTGAGATGCTGGCACCTACACTGCATGGTTCCTCCATCATGACTTATTTCAATCTTCAAGAGAAGGAATCTGGAACCAGTCTTGAAATCAGAGACTGCTTCACCTGCCTTTTTATCACCATTTCAAGAATCAACAGCATACAGTTTTGATTCATTGCCTCACCCATGCTTGTGCATAGAGCCTGTACTTCTTAATTTGACACATGAAGTGCTCAATACAGATTCTGTTAGTGTAATGGAAATTTGTTGAATAATATTAAGTCTGTGATGTCATTAAATGAAATGATATGTTTGTTGCTTTGGACTGTTGTTTTGCTTTTTGGTTTTGCTTCATTACATTTGCATAATCAAACATTTAATGTACATGTAGTTGCATTATTTGAAACAGTGATGTTGCTCATCCAAATGTGTAGGATGTTCATATTACTGGTCAATATGTTTTGTTTGCATTTGTTCCTCGAGTCATGAAGTGCATGTTTTTGACTTGGACAATGTTCCATTTTGTGGTTTCAGTATGCTTTATTCATGTAACCATGGTAACACTGCAGCATTAAATGTTTCATTGTAGCTATTTGGTGTTAGGCCTCAGCACAAGGTGATCCCACCCCCTTCCTTTGCTTTGCCCCACCCACCCATGACCCTTAATCCATGACCTAGACAGGTGAGTGATTGCATGCTTAATGACCCTCAGCAGTAGTTTGGCAGGGTTGGGAGTGTACTTGTCAGAACTGATTTGGACTCGAATGTTATCAGCCAGTAAATACTGAACATTATCTAGAAATAAACTTCCAAAAGAATTACCTCATCACTTGGTTTACAAACAGTCTAGGTACTGATCAGATGACCAGAGAGAGGAAAATCATACTGGGAAAAAGAGACTTTTTTCACACAAACTGTTGAAACTTGGAGTGATGCATTTCAGTTGGATTATTTGTCTCACTATGACAGTTCAAGATCTTATGCAGAAAGCATGTAATGTTGATTTTGACCAAGGGAATAAATGTGTGATGGAGCAGGTTTAAATGGGGAAATAACAAATTCACATTTTTTCCAACGATTTTGTTCATTAGTTTATATGAAAGCAAGAAAGTGTTTCAAACCAGTCCGTAGCAATTGTATATCGTATTTTGAACCATGCATATGATGGGCTTTCAATCAACTGGAACGGGTAAACATTCTGAGGTACTCATCAACTGTAATTGACAAGATGATCATTTGATACCAAACAGTGCATTTATTATGCTTATTAAACTTGTATGTGGAAGTTCAGTTTTTCAACTTTTTGTTTACAACACACAAGTAACAAACATTGGCTGAATGACAAGGAAACTCCAAGTCAGTTGACTGACCAAGTTGTTGTTATTGCATGCGAACAACAATGAGAACTTTAGTCATTGCACTAACAAGTGTTACATTTGACTTGCATGCCTACTTGTACTTCAGTGAGCTCTACCTTGGTTTTGCCAAGGCTTGAAGGTCAGTATGGTATAGCCTGTATGCATTCCAATGAGTGATCATAACCCATGGGAAAATGGACCTATTAACATGCTATTGTTTGTGTTGTATTCTACCCCCTTGTCACTGTTGTGAAGGTATTAGACTTGGATAGAAAATAATAAATAACTGAATGAGTGAAGTCACAGGTTTCACTGGTCTGGTCACTGCCTCAATTATGAAATAGAGTTTTTTGAAGAATAGGTCACAATGACTTGATACAGGTGATTTGATGGGGGCAGAGGAAAGAATATATCCCTATTTTTATTCATGTGGTGAAAGATCGTTCTTTAGTATATCTATTGGAAAAATAAATCATCAAATCTCTCGAGTGATTTTGAAGTGTAACCACAGTGAACCAATTTGTAAAAGTTAAGCAACACGCTTCACCACTTGTCTTGTAGTATTGCTACTTCCTTTGAGAGAGAAATTCTCCCTTGAACAGAAAATGTTGGCATCAGTCCAAAATTCAGATGCCATGCCATTGGTCGTATGTGTTAAGTTCAATCTGATATCTTCATCAACAGATGCACAACCCCTGTGAGCTAACCAGACTGTGTTTGTGTTTCTTCTTTCTTGTTTTCCTGTAGAAAAATTGATGGCTTCCTCTTATCACCAAACAAAATGAGCAAAACAGACATTTGAATGTAGACAGCCTGTCACTGGTAACCAAGTCTTTGTATTGTGGAAAAAATACTCTGATGAGGACACCAGTGATAACGTGCTTCATACAGATGTAATTAATTTATAAATTTTGATTTCATCATAATTTTTGAGGTTTATGAAGCAAAGCAAATAGACAATTGGAATAAATAAAGGTCATTTTTTTAGTTATCACAAATTCCAAAAAGCAAAAGGTTTTGATGCGTAAATACATTTAAAGTACATGTAATAAACATGTGGCTAATTTTGTCAAAAACTAGCACTATATAAGTTTGATAGTCTGGCCCAAAATACACAAATTACCTGGAACACATGCTGTGTACCTCAAGAGAGGCATTGTTTTATGTCATCTTTTGCATGATTCTGCCATTTTTTATTGGGGCAGGGTAGATCTTAAGTTTCCAGGTAAGTAAAATCAGAGGCTTAAATTATCATTTCACTGATCAAAAAAGAAAAGTGGCTTAAATACACAACCATACAAAACAATCCCACTTCTGTTGTTTGTGATGAAGTCTGTCGTGTGTCATACTGTTCCTACTAACAATGCTTGGAAATATCTTAAGACTGAAATGGTGTAGAGTTTTCCATTGGTCAGCCAAGTTGAAATTGAAAGTCAGGTGGCTCTTCATTTTTGGAACTTGAGAGATGAAAGGGAAGCAAGAAATAAATTTCTTGATAAACTGGTACCTGTCTACTCTCCAATTGTAAAGAACAATTTCAAATTTGTGATCAAACAAACCTTAGTATTTCAAGCCAGATTTTAAAAAGAAAAATTGGAAAGGAGGATGTGAGCCTATTGCTATCATACAATAGCTTGGTACCATTCAAATGGACAGTCTATTGACAAAACATCAGAATGGAACGTACTGTGTTATCAGACACTAATTAGCTGATGTAACATTTTGGTCAGGGCAGTTAATTTACATCAGTGACAAATATTTGAAGTGTTTGTTTTAGTATGGACATGTCATTTGAGCTTCTTCTTGGTGGTCTACTTCTGTATTTTCATATAATGCCATATTTCTGAATAGTTACCTAGCCCAGTAAAAGTTACAGTAAAAAGCAATCTCCTTTTTCTCCGACACCATGCTCTGATAACTAATAACTTAATAATTAGTGCACTAAGTTTGCAATGCTTACATGTGGCGATAGGTGTCCTGATCTAAAACCAACCAGCATTTAGTTCATGTCCATGCTCCAGTCAGGTGACATGCTACAATCTACCACTTATCCTAATACATGTACTAACTGTAGAAAACAGCTATTCACCAATAATACCTATAATTTTTTGTCTTCCTAGCTTGAAAGCAGTGAATTCTAATTTGCCATTTGACTCCAAAGGAGTACATGGGCAGTACAAACAATGTACAGTATCGTGCGACTGTGCACATCACCGTGTTGTTAATTTGTCTTGAATTCTTTTGCAAACTGCGTGATTAAAGTAAATTTTAGCACTATGGCAAGATGACAAAGTCGATGTTGTCTTACCTCTTGGTGTTACAAAATCCATGAGGCAAAACAAAAATGATTATTTCAGGAAGAAATTTTGAAAAAAGAATAATGTATTAATTAAAACTGGAAATTTGAAGAATATACATGTATGCCTTTGCATCTCACTCTCAGTCACCAAGAGAATCCATTTGAAGTTGTCCTTTGCCTTTATTAATTTTTTCCAAACAATATTGAAAGTTCAGGTTTATTTTTAATGCTGGCCTGTATGTAGGGGAGGGATAGGGTTGTCAAACGACCACTTCCCCCTTGCAGATGAGCTCCTCTGTTGGGTCTTTTCATACACAGAAGCTTTGAGTGGTTTATAAATTTATTGATCAGGAAACTGTTTTAGGTACAACTTCATACAATTACAAATAATGAGAATCTGTGGTCTAAGGAGAGAAAGTCTGGGAAATATGGTATCCATTAGCAAGCCATAGTCAGTTCCACAGCATAGAAAACAAGTTCAAAATGAATAAAATAATCTGGCATTTTCAATGCATTGCAAGTGCAAATTTTAGATTAATTTCTTCAAGTGTCCAAGACCAATTTTCACAAATTGGGACTAACAGTAGAGTTTCCAATTTCCATTCCACATTAACAAATGTTTATTATGAAGGGAAAGAATATGGACAATATAATCAGCAATGAAAGCAAATTTAAACCCGAAGTGATTTTTAGCACATCAACTCTGCTTATTTGTGGCATTTATGAACTTTGTTTGATGGTGTCCATTGATATAAGCTAAGCAGAAATAAAAATCAAACCTCAAGTTGCAGGTCCAAAAGCCACTGCCCTGTGGGATTCTTCTCTTGTTCATTGTAGTTATTCTAAGGGAATTGAGTCTCTTGCAAAGTAATGTAAACTTGGCTGTACTGTCCTCAATCCAGCTAAATCTTAAAAAGCTCCTGGTACATTTTGAAGGGCGTGGGAGCATCTGGGTTACTACACTTGTGTCAATGAATTTCACACTGACTGTTGGCAGACTTTGAGGGGTGTGTAGCTTGTCAAGTTGTGTAGAAAAAAAGTTTACTGCACTAGTTCAGCTTAAATGGCGACAGTTATGGTGCAGTGTGTGGCAGAGTGGTGTCTGTCTGATGCAAGCTGATTGGCCTGAGATTGATGCAGTTTATGTTGTTGCTCCTGTTTGTAGTGAGCTGTTATTTGGTACTGTGGAAGGACAGGAGAAGGGACGCCAACTAGAAGAGGCAATCAAAGAATTCAAAGAAGCTGTGGATCGCTCTGTGTCAAACTAGTAACATTCCAAATAATATTCTGCAAACTTTATGCTATCACAAAATAAATTTAGTCAGATTGATGTACAGAAAACTGTGTGTCCATTCAAAATTAATATATCAAAGGGTTAGTTGCATAAGGATAGCTGATTTCATGGCCACCCATGCATCTATTTTGCTTCTAATTTCATTGGTCACTTTTAGCCCCTTTGTAAACACCATTTTGTAAATATGTAATGCCAGTCCATTCAGGTATTGCAGTCTGCTTTGTTTTCAGTAATTATTTCCCTATTTCAGTTGCCATGTGCTATAAGTATGACTGACAAAGTTTTCAGTGTAAGGTCTGCATTATTATTTGACAAATACACATCAGTTGTTCGTATTTATTTGTCCTGCAAGTTGCTTAATTGAACCATTC